AAAAAAAAAAAAAAAAGAATGCTATGGCTTAAAACAACTGCCACTTTGTGAGGTGGCGCCCGGGGCCGGGCCACGCCGGCCAGCTCTGTTAGCGCTGGCTCTCCCGTGGCCGTGGTCATCTGTGGCAGCTGGTTGGCCCAGGAGCCCCGGCGCCTGGCCAGGATTCATGGTGGGGGAAAGAGATTCCACCTGTCAGTGGGAGCGTGGCGGGCGTGTGTCCAGCGGGGTGGCTCCTGCCCTGGGCTCTTTGCGGTGACACGGGATGACTGCTCCTCAGGGTCCAGCGGGAGTGGCAGTGGGTTTTAACCTCTGATTCTTTTAAGAATCATACCGAAAAAAGAGTAGTATGTTTTTTGGGAGAAACCTTGAGAGCTCTGCGAACAAACTGAAATCAGAACGTTGACACTGCCTGACCTCATGCTGGCCAACCTTTTAAACCCTCTCCTGAAACATGAGCCTGCAGGATCGAAACCTCGCGTTTACACAGGGGAAGTGCCATCGAGAAGGACTGTCCCAGCGCTGCGTCCTCTCTCCTGCCTGCCCTGACAACACGTGCAGACGTGCACACGGGCTTAGCGCCGTGGGGCAGCGCGGTGGTGCCAGGGAAGGAAGCTGAGTCACCAGGGCGCCAGTATACACATATAGGACCGGTGCTGCACAGTGGGGCGTGAGAGCAGCAGCCGCTGGCGCACGGTTAGCGAGGCCCTCAGCCCGCCCCTCCGTCAGCGTAAGTGGAGGCGATCTCCGAGAACTGTGTCTCAGACAAAGGAATTGGGTCAGACGAGACCGTGGGATTAAGTGTTGAAGGTTTTTCTTCTCCTTATTGTAATTTAAACCCCATCCACTGATGCGCCTGCCCAGTCCTCTAATCCCCCCAGGTAGAGGTTTATGGTTCTTGTCCACTTTAAAGATTAGGGTGGCCCTGGGCATGCGGCGGTTTGTGGGGGAAGAGGAGGGGATTACCCGGGGACGCGAGGCAGATGTCTGGAGCCCGCGCCGGCCTGTGGACGGGCTCCCGGCCAGGGAGGAGCTGGCACCATGCTTGACGTTCGCTGTTTCCGGGTAAAGTAAATGGCAACTGTCAGGGTTCACGGGAGACCAGACACTTAGACGGGGCCTTTGGACAGCTGTGCCTCCCAGGTAGAACCGCGACAGGCACCAGGCCTGCATCGGCGCGTGAAGAAGGAGACCCCCCCCAGGGGCCTGCTATTGATGAAGATGGATTCATTCTCAAGAGCGCGTCTTTTTTTGCGATATTTTGCCACATTTCTTTTAATGGCGACATGTGATCTGTTTAGATCTCACGGGTCCCGGGCTCAGTTGTGCGGCAAGGACTGCCGGGCTCAGCCTGCGCTGCCCCTGGGCTCTCTCAGGGCTCCTTCCAGTGCGGTGCCCGCCGCCGCCTCGCGCCTGTGGGGCAGGGCTGTTTTCTGGAAGTGTGATGTGTCACTCACACCCGCTGTCTCGTCAGTGTCTCTTTCATGTGCAGTGACATAAACTCTGCGTGGCTTGTCGGTGCTGGAGTGTTTTCTCTTAAAACAGCCACGATTTGAGGTGGTTTGGCCTTTTTAGAAAGAGTGCAGGCCCTCACCACCTCTGCCCTGCTTCCCCCAGGAGGAGCCCTGGCAGCTGCCCAGTGGGTCACCGTCACTGCCCACCCCGTGGAGGTCCTCACGGCACACGGCTGGGAGCAAGCCTGGAGTCACTTCCTGAGGCCACATTCCCACGTGGCTCGTGCTCTGCAAGGAATGGGGAACGCACAGTGTCATTGCCCCTGGGAGTTGCTTGTCAGGCAGGAGAAACGCACACAGCCAGTGGATCTCTTGTTCTGAGGGAGTCACACTCTGGGTCATAAGGCCACGGGCGGGGCAGCTTGGCTGGGAGGTGGGCTCCCAGAGCACAGCAGAGCCAGTGACGCGCAGGCCTCTGAGGGGACAGGGCAGCCCGTGTTGCGTGTAGGGCATGGGGCCCCGTCCCCACCCGCAGGTGCCGCCCAGGTTCTACTCCAGACAGGCTGACAAGCCAGCGTAAGCGACTCTCCTGCCTGTGGTTGTGGTGCCAGCGCGGTTCTTCCCTGTGCAGGCTTTGAGGACGACCCCCAGGCGGTGCTGCAGGCCGTGCGCAGGTACGTGCGCACCTTCTTTGGCTGTAGAGAGTGTGGGGAGCACTTCGAGGAGATGGCCACGGAGTCCCTGGACTCGGTGAAGACCCCGGACCAGGCAGTTCTCTGGCTTTGGAAGAAGCACAACGTCGTCAACGGCCGCCTGGCTGGTGAGGAGAAGCCACACCCGGGTCCCTGGCCCTGTGGGACAGAGTGGCGCGAGCCTGGCCGTGGGTCGGCACAGTGCAAGGCCCAGCAGGCACGGCCATGAGCAGGGGTCGTCCCTGAGCTCCTGCAGTGCTCATGGGACCACGCTCTGGGGGGGTGTGGCTGCCGTGGCGGGAGCTGTGGGGGGATCCCCCCCCACAACCCAGCCCCTAGCCCACGCTCTCACTCGGGGCCTGGAGGAACGTGGTGGCTCTTTCTCCCCGTTGTGCCCTTCGGTGGCCATTAACCCCCAGATAAGTTTGACCCTGGGCAACTTGGAATGTACTTAATTTGGGGTAAGGAATTTTAATGTCCTTAAAATCTATTCTCAGACTGTGAACCAAACCTCTCTCCCAGTGATTTCATTTAGAAAAACTAAATGGGGCACATGTATCTTCTCAGAGTTAAGTAATTCAAACTACTCCTAAATCAATGGCAGATTAAATCAGGCTTAAAATAATTCCACTGAGAAATAAGTCTTAATAGAGATGAATAGGAAATGCCACTAAACTCTTGGTTTTTATTTAATCCACTGTATTATAAAACATATTACAACTAAAGCACTAAAGAAAATTGGTTTTCTTTGCACTCGGAGCTGACTGCTGTGGCCTGGGCCGCATGGCCGCAGGCACCTTCCTGTCTGCCGGGACTTGCTCCGTCACTGTCAGCTGTGATTTTAAGGTGCTTCCACTGTGGCCCTGACACAGGGATTTCTCCACAGTGCCTCTGGGACCCCTGCCGCCCGCCTCCTCACAGAGGCCCACGTGGTTATCCGCGGAGCGCGCAGCTCCGAAGCAGCCAGGCTGCTGCCAGCCTGTGGCCCCAGCCTGCATGTGTCCCCCCGTTGTTGGGCTGCAGCCTGGGGTGAAGGTGTCCCTCCTGAGTGTCCTGTGCGCCCCCCACCCAACCCAGCTCCAACCTTTAGGTTGAGACCCAAACTCCCTGGAGGCCCCTCGGAGATCTCGGGGGGAGCTGCTGTCCGGGGCTGGCTCCACACGGCCTTACGTGAGGACGCCCAGCTTTAGGCCACTGACGCTCAGTCTCTGCTCTGTCCCCTCCTGGCTGCTCAGCGCAGAATTGTTTGCATGGCGTCCACAGGAAATTGGCCAGATAAACAGTGGGCCTCCTGTGCAGCGCTGCACAGCCCTCAGAAGTGCCGTGGCGGACTCGCGTTCGAGAGCACAGGCTGGATGGGAGCTGAGTGCGAGTCCAGCTGGAACCGCGTGGGCTGCTCTGTCGGGAGAGGCGCGTGTGTGTGCGGAAGGCATCCACAGGCCCCCGCCAGCAGTGTCTCTGCGGGTAGAAGCAGGAGCAGGCTCTGCTTTGCCCATCAGTGTTCCTTAGTTTCTCCAGTAGTGAACACGTGTCACTCCTGAAATAGGTTTTGGAGATCTTCAGGGGATTTTTGGAGTCTGGGAGGGGCCGTGTGCCTGAAGCAGTGGAAATGCTGGACAGCGAGTGCCCAGGCAGGGTGGGTGCTGCTGGCGGCCAGAGTGGTCTGGGCTTTGTGCAGCGGTGGAGCTCAGGCGCACCTTGAGGAAGGGCAGACGGGTGGGGCAGGGCGGGCAGGCAGCACCGCAGCAGGGCCATGGCGGCAGGTGCAGCCCCAGAGTGGCGGGTGGGCCGAGCGCACAGTCTCTCTTGCTCATAGGCTAGAGGTTGACATGGGCACGGGCTGCTTTAGAAAGATTCCTGGGACCCACAGGAGCAGGGTGTCATCTGGGCTGCACTGCAGGGAAAGGTGGTGGGAAGCGCAGGGAGAGGGACCCAGCAGGGCCTGGGGAGGAGGCCCACGGCGGGTGGGCCTGGGGGGCCGCGTGTGGACGGCGCTGAAAGGCCTTCCTGCACTGGGACTGTCCCTCCTCCTGCTCTTTCTAGGCCACCTGAGTGAGGACCCCAAGTTCCCAAAGGTTCCGTGGCCCACTCCAGACCTCTGCCCTGCCTGCCATGAGGAAATTAAGGGCCTGGACAGCTGGGATGAAGGCCACGTGCTCATGTTCCTGAAGAGGCACTACAGCCGCAGCAACCTCGTGGACACGTACTCTGTGGACCACGGAGACCCTGGTGCAGGGGGAGCCCCGGCCCGGGGTGAGGAGGAGGAGAAAGGACTCACTCCCCCAGAGAAGGCCCGTGGAGGCCACGATCCCAAGAGCCTTCCTCCGCCCAGTGTGCTGGGTCCCGGACCCCGCCTGTCGGAGAGCTTGCGCCACAGGCTGGACGTAAAACGCCAGGACCCGCACGCGTCTGGCATCCGCAAGGAAGCCGAGGCAGCCGTGCCCTTCCTCGGGGTCGGCTTCTCCAGCCTGGACATGAGTCTGTGCGTCGTGCTGTACGTGGCCTCGTCCTTGTTCCTCATGGTGATGTACTTTTTCTTCCGGGTGAGATCCAAGCGATGGAAAGTCAAGCATTACCACCCGGCCGTGTAGCGCCTCCCCAGCAGCGTTAGCAAGATGGTGGACGCGCCTTTGGAAAACAGCCCTGCCCCCGTGCCGCCTGCAGCTTTAACACTTATGATCAGGGATCTTACAAACACGCCAGACCTGGTTTCACATCAGATAGCACCTCTCTCGGCTTCCAGGTCCTCGTTTTACAAACGCTCTTCTGGGGAGAGAAGGACTCCGGGTGTTCTTGCGCGAATATTTGCATTCCTGCTCCTTTGCGGATCCTACGGCAAAAAGACTCCTGTGTTTCTACTTTCGCAGACCTAAGACAGAGGTGGGGAGCCCAGGCCCGACGCTGTTCCCCACCAGCTGGACTGGACTGAGCGCCTCATCTGTCAAGGCCTTGCTTTTGTATTGGGGGAAAAACCTACCTCCCCCACCCAGGCTGCTCTTGGTGACAGGACAGAGCCGGGAGCACAGGCGGCCTCCCAGACGCTCTCTGGGCCTCGGCCCCTCGGAGCAAGCACGGTCCTCAGTGACTTGCCTGTGCCGTGTGCTTTTCAGCTGCTTGGTGGCTTCTGCTTCAGCAGGGGGACACTTCGGGGGGCTTAGGGAGCTCAGATCCAGAGAGGAAGGTGTCTTAGTTTCCCGCGCTGCACAGGTGGTTGTCGCTCCAAGGGAGGCTTGACTGTGCCAGGCCAGGAGGAGCCAGTGAGTCTGTGGCTTTGCTGCATTTCAAGAAATAACCCCAGAGGCCTTACGGAGGGCACTGACGGTGAGGACGGTGGCCCGTTTTATTCCTCGAAGGCAGTGCCTTTGTTTGCTAATCTGGGGAGCAGATGAGGGCCGTCCCAGTCTGCCCGTCCTGCGGGAGGGGTGGTGAGGAGCGGTCTGCTCTGCTCAGTGCAGTCCCCAGGGAGGCGTCTCCCCAGGAGCCCTTTGTTGGCTGTTCTTCATCTGTCACCCTGGGAGCGACCTGCAGGTCCGGTGGCCGCACATGCCTCCCTCTGGGCGCCGGTGCCCGGTGCCAGGCTTTGCTCTCAGAAGCTGTTTGGGGAGGGTCCCCACGCAGGCACCAGCCTCCCGGGCTTAGGCCATGTTTTCTTTACCATTTAATTTAAACATGTTGTTCTAAAACCCAAAACATTTAGTGGTAAATTTGCCTCTGAAGACTTAAACAAACAAAACAAATATACTATTTCTGGGAACATTTATACTGAGAATCTCTGTGGCTGTTGGCTTGTCTCTTAAGCTTCATTGTATTTGGATAAAACAGGCTCATATGTATTTGTCTACCTGTGTGTATGTGTATGTGTGTGTGTGTGTGTGTGTGTGAGAGAGACAGAGACTGTGAGAGTCGTAGATGTTTTTTCCACTTTGCCTACTTTATATTTTATACTCACGTTTCCTAACTGCAGTTGATCATGCGGGTGTATTTATAAGACCACTGTAATATTGATGTTATTGTTGCAGCTTGAGAGCAGCCGCCAGGTTGAGGTTGCAGAGAGAACCACCCGGAGCCGTGCAGCTGGCGGGAGGGAGGGGTCTGATGCCCGGGCAGAGCTCCGACCCTCCTGTTTCACCTCTGCTGCTGGCGTTTCTTGTCTGACACTTTCTAACCCCAGAAGCCTCTGAGGGTTAACGCGAGCTTGTCTCCGTAGCTAGTTGTGCACCTGGGATACTGAAGTCCCCGTGTTGTTTCTCTTTCAGCTTGAAGGCCAGGCAGGCTCACAGGGTTGAAAGGGAAATGCTTGGAGCCCTTAATTAAACCGCGTTTTGGGGGATGTCAAATATCTTTTTCTCCCTCAAGTCAGTTCCTCTAAGGGTATGAACCAGGAGGCTGCAGGCTCCGTCCTGGCTTCCGGTTTGCAGAGCCGTCTGGAGGGCAGCGCTGGCTGTCAGCTCCCGTCGTCTCCTTGCAGTTGGAGGTCACCACTATCTGGGGGACAAGCTTGCTGCTTCCTGAGGGGAAGGTTTCAGCAGAGCATCAGTGGCTGGCGCTGAGCCGCTGTGGGGGGTGCACCGAGGTGGCCGCGGGGACTGTGTAGATACGGGAACTGTGTAGACACTGCCTCTACCCCACACGGTCTGCTCAGGTCTGAGGTCTATTTTCTAAAGTTTAAAGTATTTTCAGAGGTATTGAGACTAATGAAAACAATAGTTCAGTAATTTAAATGTTTATTTATTTTTAATGGAAGGATTTTGATTAAAAAGAAGCTAATTCACATGGAAATGTCTGAAATTTCTTACCTGCAAGGAAATTGAACATTTTGTATTGTGCACATTTTAAGAATAAAGAAACCTGACATTTGAAAAATTGTAATTCTCTTAATCTCAGGGTCATGGGTTAAGAAAAAAATTAAAAATACAGAAACAAGTAATAAAGCTAAAATAAAACATTTTTAAAAAAAGAAAAAATTGTTATTCTCTTGAAATGCCAACCAGCTCCACTAACGAGTCGGGTTGGGGTCGGGGAGTGTGCAGAGCAGGCGCTGCCTTCCTTTCTATTTAGGGCCTGGACATCTGAAATTCTAGAATTTCTTATATGGAACCAGAGGCTTTTTGGAAGGCAGCCCAGGGGTCAGATGGAAAGTAAAAGGTGGAAAATTGACGATAGATTACCCCCTGGAGCGGCTCTGACGGACGCAGCTACAGGACGGCACCCTCAGCTTTACACGCTGGGTCCGTACGCCGGCAGCCCAGGTGCCCGAGACCATCGCCCGGCCCGGCACGGCCCGGCACGCCAGCAGCAGCCCAGGAGGGGACGCTCAGGACCGCGGCCGCCCTGCCCCCTTCAGTGGGCTCCTTGTTCATGGGATGTGTTTTTCCTGGGGCTGCCCTGGGCAGGAATGTCCAGCTTTTGTCCTGCAGCTTAAGGTCTGGCTGAGTTTGTTGGGCACCCCGTGGGGTTTGCCCCCTGACACCTTGTTTGCTGTCCTGGCTCTGAGCTGCTTGGGTTTCTCCTGCCCCACCCCCACTCGTGCACAGGGTGCGGTGGGGAGGTCGCCAGCACTCTGTGTGGCCTCCCGTGGGGACCTGTTGGCTGCAGATTCCCCTCCCCAGCGGGCTGTGCAGAGGCTGGTCCCCGGGGTTGGCCCAGGACACTCCCACCCAAAGGCACAGGCAGCCCCCGCGCCCGCGCGCAGGGCACCGAGGAGGTGCCACCCTGGGTCGCTGTGCGCTGGAGGTGGTGTAGACTCTCACCGTCGGTGCCCAGGGTCTGGGCGCTCACGCTCTGGAGTCCTGAGCAGTGTGTGTTTGGGGGCACTGCAGGTGCCTTCCTCCTGGCGGCCCTGGGGGACAGGTTGGGGCCGAGGTCTGCCCAGAAGTTGAGAGTTGGGTTCCAGGAGTTCGAGTGCGGAAAGTTCCCCCAGGCCAGCAGCAAAACGCTCGCAGGAGAGAGCCCCGGGGGCCTGGGCTGCAGGTCACGAGGCCGGGGTCCACCGCGGGCTCGAAGGGCAGGGTGGGCGGCTTTCGACCCCGCGGCTCCACAACCCGCTTGCTGCGACTCTCCGCCAGCCGGGCCTGGAGCTCAGTGGGGAGCGGGACCGGCGCGGCCGCCCGCGGCCGCCAAACCCTGCGGAGGGAGGCGCGCCCGACGCTGCGGTCCCGGCGCTGGGGGTGGGCGGGGGCGGGGGCGGCGAGAGGGGTCGGGGACGGGGCGGGCGGCGGGCGGGGCGGCGTCCGGTGGCTCCTTCAGCACCGCGGACAGCGCCCGAGCCGGTGGCTCCCGGGTCTGCCCCGCGCGGCGCGGTCGGGACACGGCGGCTCCGACGCCCCAAGGGCCTGGGGATCCCCGAGACCTCCGTGGACGCGGGGCGGGGAGGAGCGCGGCCCGCGCCACTCGGCCCGGCCCCGCGCCGCGATGCTGCTGGAAACCGAGCCCGAGCGGGACGGAGAGAGGCCCGGGGCCCCCGCGGCCACCGACGTCTGCGCCTTTGGCGGGACTCGGGGTAAGCTCGGCGCGCCCCAAGGCCTCGGGCAGGGCAGGAGCATCGCAGGACAGGATCCGCAAGGGCGGCGAGGGCGGGCAGAGGGACCCGGATGGCGGGACACTGAGCTGGGAACAGCAGAGGGAAATGGAGTCCGCAGCCCCTGGGGGGCAGGGAGGGCCTAGTGCTGGCCTGAGAGGGTGCCCGGCTGCGGTTGAAGCAGAGGCCCCCAGAAAAGACAGGGGTATCAGGTGTGGCCCCCGGCGATGGGATGGAGAGGCGCCAAGTTCCCCCAGAGACGGATGCGCCTCAGCTGCCTCAAAGCACCGCCTGGGCATCCGGACCCCAAAGCTGGGACCCCAGGCGGGGTCTCCCGCCTGAACTGCCCTCCCCAAGGGCCATTCCATTACCTCGGACGTTGGGAAATAATGGAGCCATTGTTGGTGAGCCGGCCAGATGCCCAGCAGCATGGGGCCGCCTGCTCTTTGACCGGCTGCCCGCCCCCTCCCCAGTTGGGCCACACATGGACCCCGCCTGCCTCTGCAGCAGCTGACACTCAACGGCCCACACCCAGCGCTGGCACCCACCAAGCTTCAGGCTCATGTGCTCTGGCCCTGTCCCTTCTGGGTAACAAGTGTAGTGCAAAGTGAGGGCGCAGAGAGCTGGCGCCATGGGCTTTTGCTCAGAACTGAGATGTTAGGTCTGCTGGGCGCTGGGGGCAGGGGCTGTGGTTTTCCTGCGCTGTTCCTTCTGGGCCTGGGTCCAGGCCCTTAAAGCTCACTGTCCTGAAGCCAGAGGCAGGGTGGACAGGGTATTACTGTCGGCCCCCAGGTAGAGGGCCTTGGAGGATGGCATCGACCTGCTAGGCCTCCAATACTTTCTGGGTGTCTCTGCTCACTGCTGGTGGGGGGGCTGCCCTTGCTGTGACCATGCAGCCAGGGCTCGCTCACTGCTGTGTTCTGGCCCAGGGGCTGCCCAGAGCTGGTGCTAGTCTATGGCCGGGTGCTGTGGGCCCTCTGGGCAGGGGTGGGTGCATCCCTCTACCTACAAGGACAAGTGGGTCCCGTTGGGCTCACCTGTTTGGATTGGGCAGGATGCTGGAGAATCAGGTGAAGGGACCATGTTCAGTGTGGGTCAGAGTGCTGGGCGTGGGGGGCAGGGGGGGTGTATCCCGGGGCTTCCCCAGCTCGGCTCCTCCTGACCCGGGCCTGGGCTGTGTGTCAGGCCGAGGACACTGGGCCTCTTCTCTCCCGGGAGTAGTCTCCTTCCTGTGCCCACTCCGGAAGCCCAGGAGGGTCTGGGATCGCGTCTGGCTCCGGTGGTTCGATATGAAGCCTTCAGCGCCACACTCGCCTTTTCTGGGTTTCGGGTTGTGCTCCTGCCACCAGCTCCGGCTCCTCTGGAGCCGAATCTTAGCGGCAGGGGGACCCGGCTCCCTCTTGACTCCTGACCCCTCCCAGGAACCCCAGCCCTCCCGGCGCGCACGAGCCCAGGCCGAAGCCGGCGGCAGCGCTCGGGCAGGAAGCGGCCGGGCAGCGCCCGCGGGCGACGCTTACCTGGATCCTCCCCTGCCGGTCGCGCCCTCGGGCGTGCACGCGGGCCGGCGTCTGAACCGCGCAGGTCCGGCGCAAAGGCGCGCGGAGCCTGCGGTCGCCCCGGGCACGTCTCGGCGACCCCCGGCCCCGCC